TCTCCTCCCACATAAACAACCTGACCCCTTTCTCTCACTGATCCCAGTTTTTTTACATCTGTTACCTAATTTGAGAATTATGATACAGTTATCTAGGCAATTTTGGCCTTGTATGGTATTACTCATATAACCTAACTTCTTGCCACCAATACCTCCCTCCAATTATCTGTAAATAATGATTTCTCGCATAAACTGCCCCTTAACCACCTGAGAAATCCAGCCATTCATCATAGTGTTCTCTGTAACTTTTATCAACCTCTCACACTGTTACTTGCCACATTGGGCAATTTCGCATGCCATGGCCAGTCGTTTTCTATGCCTTGGTTGGTTAGTTTAACCGCAGGGCAGGGCACAGTCAGCAGTCTACATGTGCCTGCAGCCCTTGCCGTTGTCATTAGGGTATTTCAAACACAAACACAGACCCAAAGAACCACTCTTAGAAGAGCCAGCACAGCTCTGGGGCTGAGGGAAGGGTTTCTTAGCCTCCTCCCAAACGAACATCACTGAATTCTTCCTGATTTCTTCCTGAAAACTGGATTTCCCCATTTCTCCATTGCACAAAATTTGTTGGTTTTGCTATTCTTCTTCAAGTACTTGTCTGCTCTCACCAGCAATGGCCGTATAGCGGTGATAATAAGAGTTGTGTTTTCTCTCCATTTCTCCATGTACTTCCCCTCTAATCTCAGATTATTATTATTATAATTATTATAATCTCTTCTCAGAGACATAGTATACTTTTGTCATGGTCCTCAGCATGCTGGTAAATTTAGTAAGAAAGAAAAAGGTCCTTTCCTTCATGGGTCATGCTATCCAGATGTGTTCTTTTTCCTTGGCTTTTGATGCATCAATTGCATGCTCCTAACATCAGTGGGATATGATCGTTATGTCTGTAGGCCCTTGCAATTACCATGTCATCATAAGCCACAGGTTCTGCCTTCTGCTGGCAACCTTTTCAGCGTGGACTGGGTTTCTGTTCTCAGTAACAGAGACATGCGTTATTTATCTTTCTGCAAGTAGAATAAAACTAACCGCTTCCTCTATGATCTGGCACCACTTTTTAAGGTTGTGTGTGCCAGGAACTGTCTAGATGAAATGGTCATTTTTATCATTTGTGATTTGGCTGCATTTTGCTCCTTCTGCTTGATTCTTGTCTCTTCCATTCTAATTCTCAACACCGTCCTGAAGATCCCTTCTTCAATGAGAGAAGGTGGAAAGCCTTCTTCATTTGTGCATCCCACTTTTCTGTGCTTATTATGTACTTTGGATCTACTTGCAGCTCAAATCCAGGGTACATCCTGAATGAGGATGTTCTGACTTCCATCACCTACACAGTGGTAACTGCCCTGCTGAAACCACTGGTGTACAGCCTGTGGAACAAAGATGTGGAAGTATCTCTCAAAGAAAACTTTCTTGTGAAAAATAAATCTTTGGAGTCTCTGAAATTTATCAGGGAGTGAAGTCAAAAAACCTGTACAGATGGAAGACCTGTATTTCAGCTAGCCAAGAGGTGTGATAAGTAAGGCAAAGACAAAAAAAGGAAGAAGCTGCACGGGGATGGCAGAGAAGCAGTGTAGTGGAAATGGGCAGCACAGACCCACGGTGGACTTCACAGTGTGGGTCAGAAGTAGCAGTGAGCAGTTTCCATCTGCAGAGTATCTGGAGAGGGAGGGGAGGTGTCAGCTCCTGTTTCCACATGGCCTGAGACACAGCGAACAGGTAAAGCAGAGCTGTTCAGGCATGTTTAGAGGCTAATCCATGTCTCACAGATAGGCATCCTGCATGACTGGTGGGCAGTGCAGCCAGGCAGGCATTGTACTACTCCTGTGTTCCCTACGTTGGAATATAAGGCATAGCCTCCTAGAAATGGTGAGGTTGTGTGATTAAAGGCTCATCCCCACAAACACAAAGGAACAGAATTAAGCAGAAGAAACAAGGGCAGGTTTGGAAATCTCAGTAACCTGAGCAGAGCCACCACAACACCTTGACCCAGCCCCATTGTGGGGGAATGAGACCCACCAGGTGAGTCAATGGGAGGGACTCACAGACTACCTAGGGGTATGGGACTCATTACGGGATCATAGGAAGAGCATTTTGAGACTGTGTGAGACTTTTTACAGGATATTTAGGTGAAGGGGGACAGGAAGGGATCAAGGACCTTTAGGGACTGGGGAACAACCGTGGGAAAAGCAAGGGAAAAGGGGATAAAAGTGGCTGGTTGCTTGTAAACAGGTTGTTGGTCAGTACACTTTTCTGGCCATGCCTTGCGCCTGGTCACTGCAGTCTCTCCTGTCATCTTTTTTCCTGGGTGAGTGGCTCTGTACTCTGTGTGTGCATGTGTGTGTGGAGGTCTGGGCCAGACACTGGTGAGGGGCTCGTGGGTCAAATGAGGCCATGAGTCTGAGGTGCCAGAAACCTGGGAGACTGGAGAGCATGCCTACTGTGTGGGTGTGGGTGTGTACATGTCAGTGTGTAGTCACTAACAAATATTGAGCTGGACTAGCCATCAAGTAGGATAAGAGATTTGACAGCCAGATACTGGAGCAGCTGTAAGTCTGGACTGGATATTGGACAAGCCAGAGGGTCTGAGAGTCAGATACTGGAGGAACCAATAGGCTCAAGCCAGCTACTGGGGAGACTGGTCAGCTACTGGGAAGGCCAGTAGGTCTGGACTAGCTAATGGAGAGACCTGTTGTTTGTGTGTGTGTGAGTGTGTGTAAAACCAGGAGACCGGATGATCCAGGAGCCAGTTACCGAATACATTAAGCATCTAAGGCCAGTTACTAGAGGGGTCCATAGGGTGTCTGTGCATGCATGTGTGTAGGGCTGAGAACCAGCAGCTGGAGTGGGACTGCAGCTCATGGTGTCTTGTCTGTCTAGGTACTGGGCAGACCAGGGGATCCAAGGGCCAGCTTGGTCACTAGACTGACTGTCTAAGATCAGCTACTGAAGGGATCAATAATTTCATATATATATACACATATGAACATATTTATATATTAATATGTATGAAAATATGTAAATGTTATAAATATAAATATTTTACACACACATATATATTTCCACTAACAGGCTTTCATCCTGACCAGGTAGAGAGGGGAACAGGATGAGGCCGTAGGTGCTGCTCATGTTTATGTGACTGTTGTTTTCTGTTTGAGGTAATCTATGGTCATCTGTGCATAGAGGTATGTATGTATCACATGTATGTGTGCACGTCTTCCTATTGATAATGCATGCTCAGTTTCTTTACTGCCTAGACCTGAGGACACAGAGCTGCAGCAGCCTATCCTCTATTGGGCTGCAAGATTCAGCAACCCCAGCGTTGAAACCACAATAGATTCTGACCTGTTGCCCCAGCAGGTGCAAATTGTCAGGGAGCAGCAAGGGCCAGCTGCTCTGCAGGGGACAGGATGCTGGGAGCCGAGAGCAGTAACACGGCTAGCAGAGGCAATGGCCATGCCAGTGAGGACTCAGTCCTGCAGTATCCAAGCAAGGTGAGCAGGGCATGTCTAGAGGCAGTAACCAGGTTCAGACACTGGTGATCATCAGGCAAGTCCACAGTGATGATGTAGGTCTGAGGTCAGACTGGGAAGGCACTTTGTGGGTCAGTGTCCTGGCTTGGATCAATGGAGCTCACAGGCAGGCCAAGATGGGGCAAAAGGCTGCCATGTCAATGAGAAGCCATATGACCAACTTTTACCTATCTGAAAGTGATGTGCTCAGCTGGCCAGGCACTGCAGTATAGAAAAATGTGAAGTTTCTACGAAGAGTTTGTCAGAAAACAAGGAACTTTCAAGGGTATCTTCCAATGAGGCAGCTGAAGTTGGGCTCTCCTCACAGCTTTGAAGTGGTGCCTCCCTTCTCCTTTCTGTGTTCCTCAGGTCCCCCAGTGTAACTTCTTGCTACTTCTGGTTTGCTCAAGGAGAGCACAGGGTCTCAAAAGGTTCTTGAGATCCTGCTTTGAGCAGACTCTTTCCAAGGTGCTCCCACTTGCATTCTCCTTATTGTAACACCCATATGGTAATGGCTGCCGGGGCCTGCCTGCATCAACATAACATTGGAAAAACTAATTTGCTTTCAGATATGGTCTCATATTCCCCCTTGGGATTGTGCAAGAAGGAAATGAAGGTCCCTTTCCTCTTCCATCACCATCCCTCACAGCCTGTGCCCATCTTCTGGGGGGTACATCCCTTCTTCCCCTCTCAGCTGCTTTCAGACCAAGTACAAACCTGATCTGGAGGCAGGTGCTGCCCATCAGGGCCAGTTGCCCTCCAGGCAGGTTGCTGCCCTCCTTCTCAGCAGGGGCTGCGCTACAGCCTCCCTTTGCAGAGCTTTATCCCCACGTCCAGCTGCATGCCCTTGTCCAGGCAGGAGATATTTGTCCAACACGCAGCACAAAAGACCCCATGGCCTGGCCACAGCAATAAGATGTCATTGTCTCTTTATAACACTCTCTAGCCAGGGTCCAAGGAGGTCTGGCAAGCTTGACTGATCGAAGTGAACATTTACCGTTGATCTGGCAGGATGTTTCCTACCCACATGTCCCATCCTGCCTTTCCTCCTCCTGTCTGTCCCCCAAGGCCCAGGGCAGCTATGGGGTGCAGATGAACTTCAACTTGGACGACTCTAAGGAGGACGTTCCAGCTGGAAAAACAGGCTGCAGGAGTCCAAGGGCAAAAGAGGTTTGCTTCAGCTCTGGGGTTCAAGTCTTCAAATACCAAAAAGCAGCCAGAGACCCTGAGCAATGCCTCCACAGACTCTTCCCCACTGGAGCAGTGCTGGGTGTTGCTGTTTAAACAAAACTCTAGTCTCATGGGGTGCTCCCTCCCACTGGGCGAGAGGCAGTTGCTGTCTCCTGACCTCCCTCTTCATGCTTTTCTGCCTAAAACCTGCGAGGCATGCCTCAGGCACAGCATGGCATTACAAGGGCTTTTATAGTACCCTTAGACCATAATGCTGGATTTGGCAAGAGCCGTGCACATGGGACAGCCCTTGCCTTGCCCATGTGGGGCAAGAGTTTCTGTTTCCTTCACACTTGAAGGTGACACTCCTATGTGCAATCCTTCTTATGGCTGATTGTTTAATATTCCTCTTCTTGAGAGGTGAGCCAATTGACTTCTTTCTTTGGTGTGCCCCTCCCATGCAGATGGTGATGCCTGCCAGGAGTTTCTTAAGTTCAGAGTATCCTTTGGCAGTCTGGAGAATATGCAGTGGAGAAATGTGCTGCTCTGAGATTTCCTTGTCCATGTCTACAGTCTCATCATATGTCAAGTACTCGAGCACAGGAACCAGACAGACAGGGGTTCCAGCCCCCAATACATGCTGCCTGTTTCTCTTTGCTGAGCTGCCTGTCTGTGGCTCACAGAGAAGGCCAACCCAGCCCTGGAGGAGCAGCTCATTTTAGTCTTCACTTCTTTTCCAAACGACCTGCAAAAAACAGTTTCATGTCCTGTCTCCTTTTCAGGAATTTTACAAGATAGTACTCTCTGATCTTACTTTCTCTAGCTTGTATTGATGTTTCTTTGTGGGTTTTTTGTCTTTCTTTTCTGGCATGACTAGTTTACTTAAACATTTTTCTTTTTAGAGGTATCTCAGTTCTCTCTGGCATTCTTAGCTACCTGTCAATTGCTTTCTTCGTTTACTTTCTGTCCCAGACTTGTGAAATAGGTGTAAGCAACTCTTGGGCACTGGAGACTTCTTTTGTGATTGGTTTGGGGCTCACGTGCCTGTCCATCAGCTCGAGCATCTACAGTGGTGTGGTTCAGGCAGCTCATTGCACTGCAAACTCATCTTTAATTGGTGTTTCTCTCTATTTTTTTATGGGGTTTGGATTTACCATGGATCAACTTCCTAATCTGTGCTATACAAACGCAAGCACTAGTGCAAGGGAAGCATAAATGGCCTCAGGTTGTGCCAGCGGACATTTAGATTGGATATTAGGAAATATTTCTTCACCAAAAGGGTCATCAAGCATTGGGGCAGGCTGCCCACAGAAGTGGTTGAGTCACCATTCCTGAGGTATTTAAAAGACGTGTAGATGTGGTGCTTAGGGACGTGGTTTAGTGGTGGACTTGGCAGTGCTAGGTTAACAGTTGGACTCAATGATCTTAAAGGTCTTTTCCAACCTAAATGGTTCTATGACTCTACGATTCTGGGCTATTTTGCTTCAGTAGAGGCTGAAGTGATAGGAAGAGAGGAAATGTCCTCAAGTTGCACCAGGGGAGATTTAGACTGGATATTAGGAAAAATTTAGTTACTGAAAGAGGGGTCAAGCATTGGAACAGGCTGCCCAGGGAAGCAGTGGAGTCACCATCACTGGAGGAGTTCAAAAAACATGTAGACATGGCACTTCTGGACATGGCGAATGGGCAGGGTGGTGTTGGGTTGATGGTTGGATTTGATGATCTTAGAGGTCCTTTCCAACCTTAATGATTCTATGATTCTATGATGCTATGACTCT